GTGGCTGGGCGTGAACGATGTATGTGCGTCGAATGTATGTAATGTACATTCACGTTCATACATGCATAGGAACCTAGAGCGCTTCTACGATAACGTTTCACGTTGCTAGGCATCATAATGAATACGTAACTATTGCGGGGTCAGCTTGTTCTTTTCCATGCAATTCGCGGAAACACTCCTAAATCGGACTCTACGAAAAACCATCGTATAAAAGTTTCAATCTAGTATTACCAAGTAATTATTGTTATATTTTATGATGATTGTATTCGATTTAGCACACATACCGCTCGCTAATGTACATAATACGCGGAAATCTAAATGATTCCATCTATTAAAATGTGGTATAGTTGAAATTGTTTCAGACGTGTATTACACAACTGCTCTCTCTGCCTAGATACTCCATCACTGTCACTTCTTTGCTCAAGAATTCTTGATCAGATCCTAGTGGCTCTTTAGGCATTGAAGATCTTATCTGGCTCTTTGGCAACTAATTATGGCCGAGGTCACATCATTTAAAACTCATCAGGGGCATCCGAACTATTTGGATTTTCTCTATAATAGAAGCTTTTTTTCTTACAAGTTTATAATGAGCTTCAATTTAATGAAAGGTACTGTATATCATTATTTATTCTATGCAAGTTTGATTGAAGACCAGAGCATGCTTTTTATTAATAATCTTTTTGTTCAAAGCATGCTCTGGTCTTCAATCAAACTTGCATAAAAGAGAAGCTTCTGCCGAACTACACCATTATTTATTCATATTATGATGCTGTTGTGTTCACTGATTTTGATAGATGGCATCATGATACATTAAATTATAAGTTGGACGTGCTGGGTATACGGTGAATGTTGCTGCGTCCAGCTAAAATGCTAAGTGAATAATCTTCAGTTGAACGATTAAACTGTTATTTTATTTTTAAACAATAGTGTCAATTACACTATTTTTATACGAAATATTTGTGCGACATATTCCTTCAAAATAGTGATTATTTTATGCATCAAAGTATGTGGGTGATTTTTCTGTGACATCGTTTGTTTCCGCAATCGACATAATTGCTCAATCGCAAGACGCGGATTTCTGTTTGATCACATCAGACCTAAAGAGGAGGTCTTCTTGCTCCTTCTTTTAATTTAGCGCGGAAAATATTCAGATAAGAACGGGCACCTCGTCGTGGGTGCCGTACCATGTGTTTCCGGATTGCCCATACGTGGAGCCTGGATAGCGCTGCACCAACTCCTTGTATTGCAACTTTGGTCAGCTGACTATCCGATCTGTTCAGTCGACTCCGTGCATGCATCGCTGCCGAAGCTTCCTGTTGCAAGCGCTCCTCAGATCTCGCCGCTATTCGTGCAACTTCCGCCGCCCGTGACAAGGATCCCCGTGTCCGCTAGCTTTGTTTTGCGGGCTATTTAAGTTGTTAATATGACATATATGACCATGGCTTCTATAGCCCCCATTGCGGTCACTGTTGAAGCGGTTTATGCTAGGCAACGAACATTGGAATGACTTGTAGTCTAGAATCTAGATTAAAATTGCAGGTGGAATATGTTCAATTCGGCGAGTTTTTTAAGAACGTGTTGAAGAATCCGTTAATAATGAAGTATGATCGTCTTGAAGGTGAAGTCTCTTTTTATTGATTTTCTGGAACGGATTTTTTGTAAGGTGTCCTTTGTAATTTGTAATGGATAGATGTTCACGTTGCTTGCCGGATTGCATAAAATTATTTGAAGCTAAATAATCGTGTGAAGTTTCGTTTCGCGTCTAGTCCCCGCATTCAAAATAAAACAGGCCTGGGTAAATGACGACCACTTTACAGTCTCTCATTTAGTTTTGTAGTATTGCATCGCTATGGAATGTAAAATCAATTATTCTCGTTATTTCTAAGCGGCTTTATTAGGATTTTTTTTCAAATCCTTTTCCCCTCAAAAAACGCGGAGTAAGCAATTATAAATATATAGCGTATGTAGTAGGCCATGTAGCATGTACGAACTAATTGCGAAGTGGTAGTGTATATCAGGAGAGTAATTAAGACTGAGTTTAGGGCTAGCTTAACGATTTCTACAAGACAAACATTTGTTAAGGTAATGAACCCTAGGGACAACGTAAATATAAATAGACATAGTCACAAATTCAAAACCGGTAATTTTACCATTTGTTACGGTAAAGGAAACGATAAACAGCACGGGAACGGATTGTTACGTGTCTTGCGCATATAAGCGACACGACCTGGGTTGTAAGCAACACGCGTTGAACCGAAGGGCTGCGTTTAATGGTGCATACTGTGAACACAAAAAATTTCTGTACCTTATAGTAGCACTAGGTTTTCCCTCGCCCTATAGTCGCTAGTTAGGCTAGTAAGCTAGTTTGAGAGAGAGCTGCTGCTGCTGCTGCTGCTGCGTTGAGCCGCATGCGCCTTATTCGGCGTGAGTGCGTGGGTTGTGCAGTATCTCAACTCCAGCAGGTAGGCTGGTACAAGCTGATGCTGGCTGGCTGGCTGCAGCGTTACCTCAGCAGTCGTTCTCGGCCAGCCCTTCCTGGTGTCTTGCCTGCATTGTCAGTCCGAGCCTCATCTTGTCCGCCGGCCTCCTGCGCTTCTGTGACACCGGCCGTGTCTAATTCAGTGCTTAGAACCAGTGATGCAATACTTGTGAGGTTTCTTAAATCTGAACACCTGTGATGAAATTCAGAAGTTTAATTTAAGTTATGTGCTATAGGAAAGTTCACACTGATAGCAATGCGTAGATACTCATTTAAAACGATACTTCTAGTACTGTAAATATTATTTATAAGAAAGGTAGAGTGTTAATGGTGAAAGTCGAAAAGCGTTCATTCTGAAAAGTGGACACTACATTGAAACTAAACGCACAATGAGAAAAAAGCCTAGCTTGCTTCTCATCGTGGCAGTGAAATCCAATAAGTGAAACTGTTAGTTTTGAAGTGGGTGAACTGAATTTTCTTCCGTTTTATAGTGGTTTGTTCGAATGTAAATAACTAATTGATTTTGAAAAGTTATACATTGTCACGTGATTTTCAACGAGACTCTTACTGCCTGTAGATAAAAACGCACTTTGTTGTTCATAATTTTTCTGGGTTCTTGCATCTTTAATACGAAAAAGTCGTTGAGGTCAGAGAACATGTTGCTTTTTTTAAGCTGCTGTGTGAGGTTCTGCTATCGCTCGTTCCTGAAGGACAAGACTTGAGTTCCTAAGACGGCTGGCTTGATGTCACAACTGTGGCCATATTTCTCTTGACCTGACAACTCTTGTTTGCTGCACGATACATTATGGAAATTTTCAACATCCCTCTTATATGGCTGAGATTGTAACTTAGTTTTGTAAATTAGAATTCTTGCAGGATTTGAAGCATCACTCGTAAGCTTGTTCTATGTTGAGTCTTATGATAAGAATCTTAATCCCAGATGTCGTTATTTTTGCTTGTTTTCGTATGCTTAATTCAAGGTAAGCAAGCATTGGTGAAGGATAGTGTATTGCGGCATTGAGTTGAGAACTCGCAAGCGTCTCAAATATTTTACTTTTGAATCGATTAAGTAAGTGAAATGACGATGAAAATATAAGTTGTTTCCTGTTGCAAGCAGTGGTGGCCCTGTTGGGCGGGTGATCTTCGCTGGAGAACTTGTTCGTCTGTGTCATCGTACGATACCGGCTCTGCTGCATTCATTCTACCCTGTGTACTTCATGTTCTTTCGGCGATGTTTTGTCATTCATCGTCCGGTTTCTTTGTTTTCTATTTATACATTACTTCTAATAATTTAATGCCGTCAAATGAGTACAATTTTTATTCGTTTCATTTCTGAATGATATTTGATAGAATGTAGCATGTTATACAACACAAATGTTTGTGTTATAGCTGAAGTGTAACTTTGAAAACTGAGTGCGAATCAGATGAAATAACTGCATTAATTTCTGCACCTTTATATTTCGGGAAGTCTCTCATGCCTTGCTTAATCTTGAATTTTTACTTGCCTTGAAGTTTGTGCTGCCAGCCAAAAGTGGTTCGCAATTCATGCCATGTTCAGCAGTTTTCCTTCGTTGAGTCTAATTGATTGGTCTCGAGCCGCCTTCATGTGTGAGTGAGTCACTAGCTGCTGGCTGAGGTAGCACGCGCTGATCTCTCCTATGCCGGCCTTCAAATGAACTTTTCTCTTTGCTATCTCGCAATAAACTACACTTGGCTTTTTCGTAATATATGTTACATCTAGAAAATCAAGTAGCAATTGTACAGGGTGATTCACGTGCACTTCCCGCCCGATTTGAAATCTTAATTATAACGAACTAGTAAGGATAGCATTACAATACGAACTTGAAAAATATATTATCTGAATTTTCGTATCAATAAGTTCTAAAGATGACATCGGACAAATGACGGCCCCCATTGTCAATTCATTCAGTTCGATTTGTGAAGTTCCCTTCTACTCGCCAAAGCCCATTGACTGGTATGCTGGCTATGGCTTGGCGTATGTTATTCTTCAAATGAGGTAGAGTCCTTTGACAGTCATCGTAAACAATTGATTTAAGATAATCCCATAAAGAATCACACGGAGCCAAATAGGGGATCGGGCGAGGTACCGAGAACGGAATGCTCATTGAGTAGCGATAATGGAGCGGCCATTGGAAAAGCACGTCTCGAAAGCAAACGCACGCTGCTCACTTGTCCAATGCATAGTGGTTACGGACTAGGCGGGAGAGAAAACTTGATGACCTTGCCTTTCATATGAAATACTTTTCGCCCCTTTTCCTACAACATCTGGATGCTTGGCGCGAAATACATAACAGGAAGTTTCCGTGAATCACCCAGTATATAAACAAATTAATAGCTTGTCTGAATGTTATTATTCGGTATTAAATTATTACATGCGAGCGTTTTCCATGGGTTCCAGTAGTCTGTTATCTATATAGTCAATTAAAGGAATTCTGGAAGCGCCAATTCCTACTCTACTACCGTTTTCAGAAGCACTTAGTTTAAGATTTAGCAAACGCGCGTCACCAACAGATCCTTGTCCTTACCTTAGTTTTTTTTTTTTCTTGTTCCAGAAATGTAATTTCTTTATTACCTGATCGGCATCGTAGATGACTTCAAAATACACAAAATTTGTTTTATTTTTATAGTACATTTGTCACGAGATAACTCCGCTCAGTGATGGGCAACAAAAAGAACAGGCGATTATCATATGTGATATCATCGTCAGCTCGCCTGTCCGCCCCTCGTCTTCCTCATCGCCTTTCTTCAGTTCCCATTATTACCGAATGTGATGCCAACAATAACAAACAAGAAAAAGAAAACGGCAGACGTAAATCTAGTACTGGCAGCCTGACATACGGTTCGGGTGGTAGCTGCTGGACGATCGGTAACAGATCCAACGGCTACAAGAAGAAACCGCGTGCAAACTTGGGTGTCAAAACCCCTGCTGGCTGCAACTCGAACATCTGGAGCCAGTTAATTGAACAGACTCGAGCTCTGGATTATGATGTTTTAGGCTCGAGATTTTCCTCCAAAGAAGACTCAAAGAAAATTAATTTAGGTGCTCGTAAGAACATCAACTGTAGAGACGTTGGTGAAGACGATCCGGTGATCAACATGGCCAATTTGAATAGTTCAAATGTGAACTCGAGTGTGTGTGATACAGACTCCCCTGTAATGGTGGTCGTAGACGAATCTTTACATGGCAAATTAATTTACAAGAGCGGCGAGTCAGTTCCAATATATCATATTAAGGAAAACCTGTACACAACTGCATCTGGTAAAGTGTACTGCATAGACGATGGGGTGATGTATTTTGTTGGCGTAGGACCTCCTCCAACTTTTGTCGGTGCTGATGGTTCGGCGGTTGAAACTGCCGTTGACGGTCAGAACGCTGCTGCTGTTCCTAGCGGCAAGTCCAGAAGCCGAAAGCAAAAATATAACAGAAAACCATCAAACGGATCTACCCAGAACAGCGATCCTCTAAGACCCGTTGTTAATGGTGTCCCTCGACACATCAATCCCGTTCCAAACTCTAACCAAACAAAACCAAAATTTCCTGGAAAGCTGAAACCTGGATCCGGCAAATCTTCGAGACGCTCATCCTCTGCCGCGTCGCGTCTGTCTGGTGTTGATGTAAGGTGATGCGCTGATGCGTGGCGCCTGAGAAACGTTTTCCCAGACCAGACCATTTTGTTATCTATTAAGCAGAGCGTTTTATTTAATTCATCCACAATGAGCGTATATGAATTTCACTACGAACTCTTTTGAAAATTCTCGGAGCAGGTCAATGGCAATGGCTTAAGCACATCGCGGTTTAGAGTACTCTGGTTGAAAATTACGAAGATTAGGATTTCAATCAACATTCTAGCAGCCGCCAAGATCTTTTTTCTATAGCGTCTACGTTCAAAAGGAATTTCACAAAGTCAAATGGTTGCTCGCGAAATATATTACTGTAATTTTCAAACTACTGCGGTAAGATTTGCGACGCCTGCGTTCTGTATTGGGCAAAATTATCAGAAATATAGAGAGCACTCATTGAAATTTCCAGTCTTGCAAGGCTCCAGAAGTTGTTCCATGTTTCGACCACGAATAATTTTCCCATCGTAGTTATTTTTGTTCATCTTTGCCATCTTTTTCAATTTTTATTTATTTCTTAGCTATTTTACTGGATGTGTTATTTTGAAGTCGATTCTTGTTTAGTCTATCGTCTGTAAAAATCTATGTACATCTTCATGGCTTTCCTTCCATTTATTTACTTCTTCATGGCTTTCCTTCCATTTATTTACTTAATACTTGTACCTACTTTCTACTCTCATATGCATTACTTTTTTTACGATTCGGGAATTTCAGAGCAAGTCTACACCAGTTGATGCGCTGAAGACTCCCTCTCGTTGTAGACTCTCCGGCATTATTTTTCAAATTGTTCATGGACAATTTATAACTAGTAATTTTTTTCTTCATTTTTTACAGCACTCAAGAAATACGCAGCCTGGTCGCGTTAAAGGTGAGTTGCGCATCTAGCCATAAATTTTTGCAACATGTTCATAGTTTGAAATTTTCATTTATTTCTATTTCTATTTTAGTTTTAATAGGACTTGAAAATTGTTGATGGGCTGATTCCAAAGTGATGGTATTAGTGACGGTGTATTTACTAATAAGACGGATCTCGCTTAGAAAAATCGGCCGTTTTTTACCGTTGATAAAATTTAACGAGCATTTTCGACTCACTGGTAGTATTTAATTTTGTTCACTATATACCCAAGCAGATATTGATTAACTAATGCCGAGCAATTTTTTTGTGTTAGTCATATTTGTCATTGCTTAATACTTGAATTCGCTACTTTACAAACTCACCCCTCATACTGCTGAATTGCTTCATCTTGATTGGATCTAACATTTTGAAGGGAATCTATTAGATTCTGTTGCAGTTATTTCTGCTCTCAACAGACAATGTTGTAAAAGCTTCGTGTATATTCACATAGTGTTCTGCTTTAGAATTTTCTTACAGGATTATCAAGCATAGCACCTGTTTGACCGCGTGCATATAATACTGCAGATGCTAACGCACCGCGGCAAAGCTACTTGTGCGGGCGAAGCAACGTCAGCCAGCAGAACGGCGCTGGTAGCAAGGTTACCACCCTACCGCAGCCGGCGCTCTCTATTGAGAATATTACAGCCAACGCTGCTACCGTCAGTAAAGGCGCTACACAAAACTGTGAGTACTGCCTTCCATGTTCCCGTTATTTTATTAAAGTACTACGTGAACGAAAATATTCTTGTCCACTTTCTGAACTTTTAACGCAGATGAAATCGTTACCGTTGGATGAAAATTTGACACACAAAGTAGGCCATCAAAGATATTTGTTGATGTGTGTTATGAGTAATTTTTACTTTATAGTATTTTATTCGGACATAACTTCGTTACTAATCCAGAGGTTTATAGAATGCATGAAATTATGCACTGCTGTATCATTATCCGTTTTATATTTGCTATTGAACAGTGTGTTCCATGAGAGCCGCGTCTACCCTCCTACCCTTGTTATGCATAGTGTAGGTGTTGCTCTCGGTCGCGGAAGTACAATTCGATAAATTGAACGACTTTATTTTTTTTAATAAAAATGTCGGAAGTCCATTATAAAAAATTATAATGGAAAGCGTTGAATTAATTCACATTGAATGAACTATCTTCTTTGTGCTTAGTCATCCCATTATTTCCCATAATTGAAGTAATAACTGTTCTCTTGGAATGACCTGTGCAATTGAATCGAACTTGGTGTACTTGAACGTCCACTTCTATATAAGATACAGAATATACTTACCGTATGCACAGGGCGCAAGTTGTCTGGAAGTGTTGAGACCAAAGGACTGGGTAAGTGGCCCTGTCTTGCTTCTGGGCTCTCAGATCATCATTGTGCTACTAAAAATGTTATTAATGTTCCGTCGTCGAAACGGAAAATTAGGGCAGCATTCGGTTCTGCTCCTCATAACTCATTTAATTTTCACTCAAATTTTACGTGTGGCGGCGATTAGGAGCGTCTACTGCCAAATGAATTATCACTTTGTTAAGTTAAAGTTAAGTTACAGTTAAAGTATGATTGATGCTTTCATATTTATATGGCGATAACGAGCTTTTTCGGTAGCAATTTGGTGATCTGAGATTTGATTTTCCTTGCTCAGTTCAGCATTTGTGCGCCAACCCATACGATGCTTTCTTGGCATAACAATTCTTGTGAAGGCGGCAGAATTTTTAGACATCTTTGTCGTGCTTCGTGATTCATGTTTTGGGAGTCGGTTTTTTTGTTTGGTCTTATATGTATTGGGCTGAAATTACAGAAGCAGAGATTGAAAGATATTTGTGGATCTTTTCCGCATCCGTTTATTTACAGAGCTCCATTGGGAAGAACTAAGTAGGTTTTTCTGGCTTATATTTTCTGTGATTTACCTCGTATCCTAATTAGGCTTTCGGAACGATTTTCCAGAAGTCGAACAGTGAGCATTCTTCTTGTCTTATATATTTCATTGTCAAAAGATGCTTAGAGTTGAATCACTACTTCCGTGCATGGGTAGTTTTTTATCCTTGAATTTTGTGCCCAACAAAGTTGATCGTTAAAATTGTGCAAGTGTGAGAAATTATTCTCGAAAAGCATTACATAGTATGGGGGGGTTTTCTTGAGCATTGTCTTGATTATGATTTCAAGCTCTCTCAACTACCAATGTGCGAGTGTCAAGGTTCTGCTTATTGCTAAAGTTCAACTGCCGCTGAACACCAACCAATGCTTACACGTTTTTAAGTTTGAGAGACGTTTTGTATATAAGGTTATAAACTCACCAGTGATGGAATGAACCCTATGTAAAGTGAAACTTGGATGGTAATTGTGGATTAAAGAGTGAGTGATAAATACCCAGCAGACGATTTGCCTTTTTTAAACAGTGTTACCTCATGACTCTTCCAGCTTATTTCGTTGCTTGCGTCTCGCCAGGGAAAATTCTAGGCGTTTTGTAAGCTTATTTTGGGGATGTTATAGGTTAAATTATTATTTATTATTATTTATTAACAATAGTAACCAGAGATTAGATGCAACCTTATGTTTCACAGCTGGTTTTTTGTCCAAAAACTGTTTCTTCCAACATTGTACTATTAGTGTGAATAATAACATAGTGTGAGTAATCAACTGTCCCACAATCACCGAATTTACGTTTCAAATTTATAAAAATTCTCTTGAGATTATTCTATGTAATGGTGCTAGCTCATCTCTGTAAAGTTAACTACAATTTTGATTATATTCACAATCACAAATTGAAGACTTGGTGTTTACCGATCTTTACCGACGGAACTCGCCCATCGACCTCTGAATGATAAAAAGAATATGATTAGAATATGATGCGAACATTAGTATCAATATCCGAGTTCATTTCCAAAGTGACACACGGTTTTGATAGATGCGACCTTGTCACACATGTTTTTTTTACACACACGTCCTAATTAAACACTCGGCGACGAAGCACGAACGTAAGCAGCGTGGTCAAGGAGGTGGACCGCATCCAGCGCAACAGAGAAGAGCGTCGCCTCAAGCAAGCCTTACAGAAAGAGGAGAAGGAAGCTCTCATGAACATCGATCCTAATAATCCTAATTGGGAGTTCCAGAGTATGATCAGGGAGTTTAGGTGAGAGAAATGTCAGAGCTATCCAATGATATATATTCGTAGATATCCTATGTCTTCAGTGTTTGAGATTTTGGCTGGTGATTAATAAGTTTAATCAATGACAACTATTAAAAACTGCTGTCCCATTTACCCTCTTCTTAATTAAAAAACGAGTTTCTTTTCTTCTTATGCATATTCCTGAATAGTGGTATGTGGTATATGTATTGTTTAAAAGGGTGCGTCAGAGAAACATGTCTTTTTGACAAATTCGTCAAACGGCGCGAGACGAAACGATGGAGCTGGAAGAAGATGCGTCAAGACGGTGTGTTATCAATTCTTGTTTCCGCCACCAACTGTCACGATCACGCAGTGGGGAGAGAATACCTCACGTTAGCTGTCGATGCATACTTCGGTAACGCTTAAAAATGGCCAGATACCTTGCCAGCACACTCTCGACATTTGGTTTTAAGCGAATGCTTCTACCCTAACAAAATTTAGAGTCGCCCCAGCTTCTGGTAATTAAAATCAGAAGCTGTCGCGACTGTAAATTTTCACTGGGTATAAGCAGTCACTTCAAAATAGTATGGAAAAAATTAACGAGATCTCTTTAGGTAAAATTGGACTAGCTCGACATCTGGAATGATTTCGTTTTGCATCAAACCGCTCTATAAAGTTTCTCTGACGCACCCTGAAAATCGACGTTATGTAATGATTTTCGAATAAACCTGACACTAATGTTACAGACAAACGTTAGAGTTCAGGACCCTGAGGGACGGCGATGCCCTCGAGGAGCACCAGATCACAGTCGCCGTCAGAAAGCGGCCTCTCAATAAGAAAGGTAAACCCTGAACCATCTTATTAGGTCGTTTCCATCTTCCTTCAAATAAGCCATTTTTTATCCAACACGGTCCGATAAGTTTCAAAGCAGTTTATTTTTGTTTTGATGAAGGCACTTGAAATATTCTGAATAACTGCGAATAGGGTGCTTTTGGCTAATTAATGTCATTGTTGAATCTCTTGTATATGACTTTTGATTTTAAGAACCAATGGTCTTGAAACCCTGCTCTCTCAGCAGTACACTTGGTTGTTGTTGCAATTTTTATCATTTTATTTCTTTGTGAGCAAGAGCTTCATAGTGAAGCAGTTTTATGCTTATCAACTTTGATAATGTTTGAGCAGAAATCACGAAGAAGGAGGTGGACGTCGTGACCATCCCAAAGAAGGACACACTCGTCGTTCACGAGCCTCGCACCAAAGTTGATCTCACCAAATATCTCGATAACCAAAACTTCCGATTCGATTATGCATTCGACGACACTTGCTCTAATGAACTAGTTTACAAGTAAGTTCTAGTGTTCCCGTATTCTTTCCTGGTGGAAAGTTGTTCCCCATATTCTTTCCGCCTTTGAATTTTTCAGTGCACAAACTGGTTGATTTTTGCGGTCTTGGTTAAAATCAATTATTGATATTTTTCAATTGTGTTTTAGTTAACGTTCTGATTCTATTGTTGTTTGTTAGCTTGCTTGTAATGATCGTGTCAGTTTTTAAAGTTCTTGGGCGGTTTAATTTCTCGATAGCTAATGCTCCTCAGATAATGACCTCGTATTCAACAGGGTTAATATATCACTGGTCGACGCTGATGACCGCCTTGGATTGCTACATTTAAAATTTCTGATGACTTGTATTAGTAGCAGTTGTCTAACTTCCGCCATTGAAATGTTTTGCTTGACTGACGTCGCACTTGCTTTCAGTATACTCACGATATTTTTGTGCTAACAGTATGTATTGAACTAATGTTGGGTTAACCGTGCAGATACACGGCGCGACCGCTGGTGTGTACAATATTCGAGGGCGGCATGGCGACGTGCTTTGCGTACGGTCAGACAGGCAGCGGGAAGACGCACACGATGGGCGGCGAGTTCCTAGGCAAAAGTCAGGACGTCTCGAAGGGCATATATGCCATGGCTGCTCGTGATGTCTTCTCCTACCTCACCAGCAAAAAATTCGGTCACCTCAATTTGCAAGTGTCGGCGAGCTTTTTCGAAATCTATAGTGGCAAGGTGAGTTTTTCAACTCTTTTATTTACCGTCTACGGTCGTATTTTGTTCTATATTTTCTTGCCAAAAATGAAAATAGTAAAATCTCTTCAAGGGAGTATAATGAATGGAAATTAAGGATAGCTCTTGTTGATATTGTACTGAAAATGCCTTAAAATTTTTGTGTGAAAACTATGTCGTTTGTTCTCTCTTGTTGACAATGCCTTAGGTGTCAAAGAAAGGGGTATTAGGTTAACGCTGTTGTAGTTTGTGCTCTTTAAGATTATTTTACTGTGCTTTCCCAAATAGTTCATTAATTTTAACAATTTCGTATCTTCTTGTTGATTAGCTTATCAAATTATATAGTTATGAATCGATTTCTGACTTGTTTGTGCAGGTATTTGACCTGTTGAACGGAAAGAACAAGTTACGGGTGCTGGAGGATGGCAAGCAGGTGGTGCAAGTGGTGGGGCTGGTGGAACGCGTGTGTCAGAGTCCTGCCGATGTGCTGCAGCTCATTCAAGTCGGGTCATCTGCGCGGACCTCGGGGCAAACAGCTGCCAATAACCAGTCGTCGCGGTCACACGCTGTGTTCCAGGTTATAATCATATTATTTTTATCCATTAACCTTGCATTGCCATCAACTCCATTCATTTTGTGTATTCGCCATTGAAATGTTTTGCTTGACTGACGTCGTACTTGCTTTCAGTCTACTCATGATATTTTTGTGCTAACAGTATGTATTGAACTAATGTTGGGTTAACCGTGCAGATACACGGCGCGACCGCTGGTGTGTACAATATTCGAGGGCGGCATGGCGACGTGCTTTGCGTACGGTCAGACAGGCAGCGGGAAGACGCACACGATGGGCGGCGAGTTTCTAGGCAAAAGTCAGGACGTCTCGAAGGGCATATATGCCATGGCTGCTCGTGATGTCTTCTCCTACCTCACCAGCAAAAAATTCGGTCACCTCAATTTGCAAGTGTCGGCGAGCTTTTTCGAAATCTATAGTGGCAAGGTGAGTTTTTCAACTCTTTTATTTACCGTCTACGGTCGTATTTTGTTCTATATTTTCTTGCCAAAAATGAAAATAGTAAAATCTCTTCAAGGGAGTATAATGAATGGAAATTAAGGAAAGCTCTTGTTGATATTGTACTGAAAATGCCTTAAAATTTTTGTGTGAAAACTATGTCGTTTGTTCTCTCTTGTTGACAATGCCTTAGGTATCAAAGAAAGGGGCATTAGGTTAACGCTGTTGTAGTTTGTGCTCTTTAAGATTATTTTACTGTGCTTTCCCAAATACTTCATTAATTTTAACAATTTCGTATCTTCTTGTGGATTAGCTTATCAAATTATATAGTTATGAATCGATTTCTGTCTTGTTTGTGCAGGTATTTGACCTGTTGAACGGAAAGAACAAGTTACGGGTGCTAGAGGATGGCAAGCAGGTGGTGCAAGTGGTGGGGCTGGTGGAACGCGTGTGTCAGAGTCCTGCCGATGTGCTGCAGCTCATTCAAGTCGGGTCATCTGCGCGGACCTCGGGGCAAACAGCTGCCAATAACCAGTCGTCGCGGTCACACGCTGTGTTCCAGGTTATAATCATATTATTTTTATCCATTAACCTTGCATTGCCATCAACTCCATTCATTTTGTGTATTTATCATCTAGATGCATGGAACGCATGCAGATTGAATAAAATGTAGATGGTCCCCATGATTATAGATACTTCAGTAGGTATCATTTTGCAACAAATTGCTGATTAAATTTTATTTTCACGCGGAATCGCTTGTTACTGTCTCAATATATTATCGGACAGAGAAGCAAAACTATTCCGTTTCCAGCACCTTGACATGTAATGTTACTGCCTACACAGATCATCCTGCGGAACACAGACCGTGTAGACAGAGCTGCGGGGGTGCAGAACTATCGACTACACGGCAAATTTTCTCTTATTGATTTGGCTGGCAATGAACGAGGCGCCGATACTAGCAGCGCCAATCGCCAGACCCGTGAGTGCCGTTCATTGCGCCCATTTTAATAATGATCCTGCACCACAGCGTACAGGAAAAAATTTATCTCCTCTCTCACTTCATTAACATGTATCCCGATATGGCTAAGAATGAATTCCTAAATTGTTGAATATGATATCCAGCTAGTTTTGCTCTTTAAATTAAGAATTAACTTACGTCCTTGATCTTATTACTGTCATTTTTGTGATTCTCTTGACGTAATATTTCTATAATTGTTAATTGAATTATAACTGATTTATTGATCCCATTGATTAAACTTCCTAGGCATGGAGAGTGCGGAGATTAACAAGTCCCTGCTAGCGCTCAAGGAATGCATCCGTGCCCTGGGCAAGCGAGGTGCTCATCTGCCTTTCCGAGCATCAAAACTTACGCAAGTTTTGCGTGACTCCTTCATTGGAGAAAAAAGCAAGACTTGTATGATTGCCATGATCTCTCCAGGACTGAGTTCTTGTGAGCACACGCTCAACACGCTCAGGTCAGCAATGTTTCCTTCATTTTTGTGGCCAACTTTTATGAATGACCTTTACTTTTTACTTACACCTGAAGTCATGCTAGAAAACATTGACAATAGGCCTAAGTTGTGTTGAAATATATTAAACTTCTACTTCCAAGTCGTTTTTTGTTCATGATGGTGGTTATAATTATATCTGGTCATATCGAGCTAACAGTAAATATTCCCTGTATTCTCATGTATAGCAGCACTGCTACACGAAATGCTTTGCTACATAATGCTCCATCTCAGGCTGTATGAAATTTGCTTCGTGCGGAAGCAAGTGAATTTGCTGATGTTGTTCATTTTCAATAATCAGTATGGAAGTGTAATGACCAGTCAAACGCAACTACTGATGCGAATATCTTCCGACGTACTGAAATTTAATAAAAATTACAACATCTAACAACGAAATTAGTCGTCACAAGTGTAGCACTTAAACATCTAATCATTCCAAGACATAACCTTTTTGTGTGTTGCAGGTACGCTGATCGTGTGAAGGAGCTTGGCACCGGTGACGCTGGCGAGGACGGAGTGCCCAAGGCATCTGTCGACGACTACGATCCCGAGGCGAACGGCAGCGCTCTTGCTGATTATTCCCGCCTGGCCTCCTTCAATGTGAGACCGAGGGCATCGTGCTATGCGACTTGCTGTGACATGTACCTTTCAGGGTGGCTTGCTGCCGAATTAGCAGTGCAGTGCGTGTAGCTGCCTCGTGCAGCGTTACTTGCTGAGTCGTGTCTCTTGCAGTGTGACTAGCTACTTCGTGTCTGTGGTTGTCCTCACTCTGTTATGTTTTGAGCAGTGTGCCTGACTGCGTCATGCTTCGTGCAGCATTACTTGGAACGTCGTGTTGTCTCAGGGAGTGTGCCACGCACCGTCGTATCTTGTGCTCTGTGTCTCAAGCAAAGCAAAGCCTGAGTGCGCGTAAAGCCAGTCTTGTTTGTTTCCAGGAAGGAGAGATGAGCGCAGAGCAGCAGGTGTTCCAGGTGGCTATGAGCGCCGTACAAGAAGCCGAGGAGGAGGTCGTAGAATTACACGGGCAATATTTTGCCCACCGCGACAACATGGACAAGATGCTCATCCCGCTCTATCAAATGACCAACGAAATTGACTACGATGTTGACGGTGAGCTCAGTTCATATCGTAAATATGCTTTATTATAACCATCGGCTGAGTTACTATCATCATCTTTCCGCGACACAAATCATGCAATGCTTAAATGGTGTGCAGTTATGTATTTTAGGAATTTAAAGTTCTCGGTTCTCTTATTTATAAAATTTTATCATGATTTTTCCTGCAATTGTATTATTAGCAGTGGTCTAACATACGCTAATGAAATGTTTTGCTTGACTGAAAGGACTTCTAAGTTGCCTCCATATATATAATAAGAAATTTGTGTTCATTGATGTGATAGAGAAAATTTAATCTTATTATCCTGCTAAATAAGTCAGTTCAACATTTCTCAAGCTGAATCTGGAGTTAGATCACTACAAGTACACTGTCCTTATTAAGTTTAAAAAATGATAGCTAGAAAACCTCCCAGATTTTCTTCTGCTGTAAGATTATTTTTTTTTTCGTTCTATTGATTGTCTTCCCTTATCAACTTGAATATCTGTCGAAAACATGTGAATTCTTAGCAATACACATTGTAGCTTTTTGTTTACGAGCTAAACTATTACTATAAGTCCATTTGAGTTTTCGCAGCACTATGTGTAATCTATGATTCTATGTTGAGTTAGTATCCTGAAATAAATTTTTTTCCAGCTTATGCCCAGCAACTTGAGGGAGTAGTCAATGAGAATACTGAGTGGTGGCAACAACTGAAGGAACGAGTGGCCAATTTACGACGACAACTCGAAGAGGAAGAAAAAATTCACAATCAGCACGTTCCTAAGCACAAGGGGACAAACCACTAAGTCCAGGACCGAGCTTGGCCAATCTTCCAGTACCAATCCGATAGTTCCGTATTATGTTCGCTTTGTGTTGATCCATTGACTGCAGTGGCCTAAGTGCTCTATGTACCATGTGAACGCTGCGCAAGTTCTCATCAGATTAATAATCAATCTCACGTAGTGCCTCTGATGTGATAGTCTGATTCAAGTTGTCTTGTAATCGAAGCGATGGCCTGTGATACTTTCGCTCATAGTTAACGCTTGAACCTGAAGTGATTTTATTTTCAGTCTAATGAGCGGCCTCATTTTGTTGTGTAAACGCACTAACCACACGGATAGTTACAAAAATCCTTTGAATTGTCATGCTGCCCTCAAGGAAAACTTCCTGCTCAGCTTATCAAACCAAATGTCATCAAAATCTCTCAATTTCTGGTATTTTGAGTTTGAACTTCTCCAAATGATTTTAATAGTAAGCTTAAGGGCTATTATCTTTGTAATTATTATTGATATAACTCATATTAGACTGGTGTGCGTTTCACGCCTTCTCAAGTCAATAACTAATGCTCATATATGCGCGTGCACAACTTAAATCTTGTCTTAAATACTCGCTGTAGTTACTTAACCTTGACTGTTCTCGATGCAGTGTCAATAATGAAAGCCGTCATTGTCAATATTGTTTCATACAAACTTACTGTTTGCTAATTCTTCCTCATTGATTATTAGTTTCCTTGGCTTCCCTTAATTCCTTGACAGAGTTGATTTAGAATGGAGCTCTGAAGTCAGAAGTGAGCAAAATGACTTCACGACAAAATTTGTCTCGATAAATTGATTTAGCGTCTCTAAATTTGTATCATTTATATACTTCTTGCCGCGCATCTTACTAAACAAGCGCATTCTAATTTTATTAACCCAAAGCCATATCATCGTCTGGTGGCGAAGTAGCCGTGTTTTAATTGAAATGATGGCTAGCTTTTATTTATTGTTATCCCATCATCTGTCGGTTCTTTAGATGCATGAACTGCTGTAGATTACTTGATCGTCGCATTTACCTGCTTCTTTATGGTTGCTGCATCATGTCTTGGATAGTTAGGTATTGTACATGTCATTATCTTATTCTGACTACGACTCAGCAGCATATTTCTTTCGCAGATGAAGTTATTCAGTCGCTCGAAGCCATCTCATGTAAATATTAACCTAATTTCGGCAGTTGTTAACTGTGCTAATGATTATTGAAGCTCTCGTCATCCTTATCTCCTAAAATTGTCTACGGTCTTAGCTTCTGGAAATTTTTTTGCAACACGTGTAATTTCTGTTTAGATGTGTTGTAATTTTCCCATAGGAATGTGTTATTTGTAGGCGAGCTGCTCCTGAACGCTAGTCCGTTTTTTCCAGCTGAACTGCAACATGGCAACGTTCTCAAAGTGTTCGGTTGACGGTTCATCTTAAAAGTCTCGATGGAGATCGGGAGCACGGGCTGCTCGATGTCGATTAATAACTGGTAATATCGCTTATATTAGATGTTACTCAGTTCACGTAACTCGGATTTAGCAAGCTGCAAGGAATTTTAAAAATTTGTTCATGTGCTGAGGTTTACCGACTCTCGGCCTGATCTACTTCCTCATGAAGTTTTTTCTTAGTACGTCGACCTGCCCAACTTGCCCAGCCTTTAGCTCTACCACTAACCTTAGCCTCATGTAGATTAAGATGAACATTAATTGTGATATTTATTGTATAAAGAAGTTACGTTGCTTCATGTACCGACAATGTATTGTAAGCGATTGCAAGGCTTTCTTCAACGACCACCGCATTACTTCACAAATACGACCTCAGCTGCCGTCGTCTTGCGGTATTTTGTTAATCCATGTAATCAATGACTAGTCTCGTATACCCTTCGCAGTTAAAAGTTGGACAAAATAAAGAAAGTCGTTACCCCATCCTTAGTAGCGCAGTTTGTTTTCTGTTTTGGTATCTTAATTTTTTATTGCTTCAGATCATTCCGATGTCAATTCCACCTGTGAAACAAAATCGAGTAACGATTTGACTTGCATTTGCAGTTCCTGAAATAAGCGTTTCTTCAATTGTATTCTAATTGGATGATTGACTTGATGATGTTTTCACGCATTTCCTCTCTAAATTCTTTCATTTCATCGAATTCGTTGTTAACACTTTTGCTAATGAAGCTTCCCGCTCTTGCTTTCTCATACCTGAGACGGTAGCATGAAATCGTCAAATTTCTGCTGCCCACAGAGAACTAATTTATATTTTTTTGATAGTGTCATATTAAGGTTGTTCTTATTTAGTTTTGAAAGTGTCAAATCGAAAACTATATTCCCAGTTAATTCCTTATAAAATGACATATTTCATTCAGTAGTGGAACGAATTTATGCAACGTTTGCCATTTCTCTCTTGTGTGGATCAATATAGACTATATAGGCCGCTTGTTGAATCCTCAGACGAAGTGTTTTTATTTTATTGCGCAGAGAAATCAGGAGCATATATTATTATGACTTTCTGTATTATTCCAGTGAAAGCCATTAATCGCTACGCGTCTGATTTTTCATCCCTACTAAAACTGGAAGCTTTTTAATTTGCTATAACTTTTAACAACTTTGAATAAAGCTGCACCTTTTATCGTTGTCAATTTTGACCTTCTATCATTTGATTATTTGTCTGAGCTGACATTGCGGTACGATTCTATTGCCAAAAATTTGTTACGGTGATCACTGAAATGCTGAATTGAGGCGGCCTCTACTAGTTACTTCTGAAATACTAACAGCGTTTTGATTTATTGGAAAAGCAAACTCTGCGTTAAACGTTTAAAGGCTCAATTAATATCGAAGCAATCGATCAAGGCTATTGGAATTTCAAGCTTAGTACTCGACTCCAGAACTTGTAGACAAGTCGGAGCAACTGCGCAAGGATCTCCCGAAGTAATGAATGGAACAGCATGGGGCAGAATTGAGTACTAGAAACCCTTAATGATTCGTTGCTTTGTGTGATTTTTCTAGGAGTGAAAGGATTAGTGGATTTAAATCGTAAATGTTCGAAGACAGTTCGGATCCATAGTCGTGTGTATGTACCACAGGCGAGCTCGTGGAATGTTAATTAAGCTTCACGATGACGTTTAGGGTACAACATGAACGCTCAACATTGTAGTAATGTCGTCTTCTATCGATATTATTGTGCTACAGCAAACTCGGGATGTTTATTGAAGAAGGTGGATGTGATTGAGCTTATAAAACGACTTAACAAGTATTTAAAGTTGATATCATTGAAAATTACTCTTAGTTGCGTCGAGATTTCAGTTGAACAGACCACTGTTACAATCGGAAGAATTGGCTTCAGGCCACTGTTAATGATCGTCACGACTTCCATTACAAATCTGAAAAGTGTGACAACTGAACTATGATGGTTCACATCCGTAGAATATTTTCGGAAAGTTATTCAACCTCGGCTATTTTGGCCAAGAAGTTTCGGCAAAATTACTTGTCAATGTAGTAATGTCAATTTGTAAAGTTTCTCACAAGTCAGTAATTTTCTCTCCGGTAAGCATTATCCTTTTTTAGTGGTACCTCTGTACTTTAGTCATATCTATTATAACCGCTGTGCTTCCATTTTTTTCAGATCTGGGGCCTTGTTATCAAAACTTCATAAGTACGCAAAATCGACTTACGAGGGGCGTAGGTACTGACTTGATGACGTAACCAGATCACATTGTCATGACCCATTATCCTTACCTTGGCAGCAATAACAGTGTGGTTAGAGTTGGCTGGTTTGTGGATGTTTATCTCCCGCACCCATTCTTCCACCAATTGCTTCTAAGCTTCGAGCGTCTTTTACACCTTGAATTCTTACAAGGTTTTTCTGTAAGGTATTATTCTTACACCTTGAATTCTTACTTGGTGCTTGCGGGGTTCGGGCGCGGGCAGTGACGACGACGTGAAGTCGATCATTTATGTTGGAGTACATAGATGATGAAAGTTTTTTACGGTATACGACTGAATCTTGAACAATAAAGAGGTTGGAGCCGCGTTCAGCTAAGACTGTCAACTTCTCCCCCCCCCCAGAAATCTAGGGTTTTACAAGCTCTGCGGCGAATGAACGTCGTGTAGCTGTCTCGAACATCTTGGACATTTATTCTTCGGTATCGTGGCCGGTCTACATGATTCAGTGAAAATGAAATATCTCTCAACTTTACATGAATTAATAGGTAGCCCCTGATCACAAGGGCTACCTATTTATTTTTTCGATGTTAGTGGAGTATGAATCTAAATCTTGTCTTGAAAATTTTAAACCCCCCAAGTTATCAATGTTTTACGGGTACCAAAATATTTTCTTTTGTTTAATAAATCTCATTTCGCGTCGCACTGTAATAAAATGCAAAGTGAATTCTGAAATGTGTATTTGTTGTTTTAGGTAACATTGACTTCGACCTTTCCTTAAAAAAATAGAGTTATCGTTTTTCTTTAGACTCCAAAAGGAACTTCTTCGTTTGTGCGAAGCTCATCACTATAGAGACAATGAAGCCGAACTAAGCCTACGCCTCGTCTAGCGTCCCTAGCGTCCCGTCAGGCACGACCTTGTCTACGCGCTTGATTATGTATTCTGGCGCTGCTGAGAGAACTTTATTTTCTCGGTCTGTCGCTCTATTTGCATATCGGCTGAGCATTGCTCACATAAAGTCCCAGTGCTGAAAGGAAACTTTCTGGAAGCACTTTTCAAGTTTCCTGAAAGTTTCACTGGATTCAATTCTTTCAAAGTTGTCTGAAGCTCAATAGCGTGGCTGAACTGCAGTCTGTCCAAATGCTGCTGAATTTGCCGTCAGATCGAGGGTCGCGATCCAATCCTAACGAGTCGCGCTGTCATGGACTCGAAAACATTGGCGCATCGGAAGACCCTATTAAGGATACAAGCATAACAAACAGTTTTCTATTTCGTTCAATTATACCTAGCTATATATTTTCTTCAAAATAATCATTTAAAAAAACAGTGCTGAAAATTTAACTCATGTTAGAGACTAATCGATAAATCGCAACCAAAGTGAAATTAACATATTTTAAACCAAAAAGAATTTTTTTTTTCAACTACCATGAATGTCCTAATTTTGTACAGAATTTATTTATTTGAAGTTTTATAGAGAAAAATCAATGATGCACACTAAAAGAGTCAAGACATTCCCTACTAGAATCTCGAGAACCTTTTCCTAAAACAACCAGAACTCTCACACATGACTCATATGGTGTGTCCACCGTTCGTCTCGTTTTAGCTTTCCATTTATTTATTATTATTACCATTGTATTATGACCATTAGTTGATTTTTTGATTGTATTGTAATTCAGTGTGGTTGAATAAGTTTACACATATTTTTGACATTCTCAGTGGCATTCCAAGTGTCGAGGAAAGCATTGTCTTGGATCGTACGACACTGCACGCATGTGTTATATCCAAAGGCGACATCCTACAGCTTTTTTACAAAGAGTGCATTTAAATTTATAAGTAGTTTTCGCAATATATATCTTGTGTCTCGAGATGAGACATTTGTATATATAGATACATATCAAGGCTAAGCTGAAGCATAGATCCTGAGTTCATAGGAAAAAAGTGAGATAAAGCTGATGTTGTTATTGCCTTGACGTGATCGCTGTTAATAAACTTTTTTGTACAAGTGCTGTGGATAAGGGTTAGATTATTTCCACTTCGTTACTTCATTATCTGTTACAATTTGGAACAATAAAAATATAACAAATACTAATTTATTAAACCTACTAATTCTAAAATAGTAAGCGAACAAGATACTTCATTTGTATTGTTTCTGGAAATGAGTCGTGTAGCTTTACCTTCAAAATCAATTTTTCCGAGTACCAAGAATCCACACCTTGCATGTAATTTTTTAATTTAAATCCCCGTTCTATCTCACATGTATACTTCTCCTGATCATTGTACTCATCACTGGTTTAAGTTTCATTTACTGCAGTTGAATCCTCCGTGAACATTTCTTAGCTAGTTGCTTCCTTATTCAACTAAATAGGTTAGTGGTTAATTACAATTAATGCTCTAACATTATCAACATCTAGTTAGGAATTAGTCCGACCTTCCTTCTCTTTACAAGAGAAAAACTGAAATTATTTCATTAATTTCTCGGGTTCGTGTTTATATCACCCGCTTTTTATTCATTATATGCTTACTTTCTATTTTTTTCTTATTTCAAACGTCCTATATATGCTACCAGTTTCCAATTTTGGGTAAGTTGTTATTTCTCTATTTCATTGTGAAATTCAGAAACTAGTAATCGCTTAGTCTAATATAGGCGAAAAATTCTTCAGTAAACAATCAGATGAGCGGAAATTGATAACAATCTGTCCACATTGATGTTCTTTTTCTCTCCTTAGAAAAACTGAGAGAAATTATTGAGGAATCAGAGACGACTGACCGCCCATCGAGGGACGCCCTCAATTCCGCATAGAATTTCAATCAAAATGTCTTTTACATAGAATTTAAATAGAATTTCAATCGAAATGCAGGCAGTTCCTCTGCTTTAAACATGCCGTAAAGTGTCCTCCCCACCTCGCCATTTAGTATTTTCATTTAAGCTGCAAATCCTGCAATTGAGTGCACTCTTTTGAGTACGCACTTCAGTGCAAAGGGAATCCCATGATGCTCAGCAAACAGGCCAAGCTGTGTTAAAAGCTGAACTTTAGCGTTTTGTCGTCATGTATGATACAATTTTGTGTTACAATGCGAAAGGCAAAATATTACGCAACATTGTTGAATAGCTCAAAAAGCAGCATATTCTGCATGGGTCGTCTATTAAATACGATTACATTAAATATTACATCATAAATTTTAATTATGCCTACTTTTCAGATTTGGAGATCTTTCTTTGGGACGCTTCACAAGTTTATTTCGATTTCTACTTATACTTTGCACAAAGTTTTTAATTGCTTTTTAATTAATTTTAATTGCTTTTTTAAGTTTAAGTTTTTAATTGCTTAAACTTAATTGCTTCATGCGATTAAAGTGTTAATTTGTTTGTTCGTATTTATTTAAGATTTTTATAAGTTTTCGATTATTAAATAAAACTAATATTTACCTCTTTAGCATCAAATGATTTTCTGGAGAATTAAAACTTTATTTCAGAATATATTAAAAAGAAAGAGTTCTATGAGAAATAGTTTAAAGCGCAGCAAAATAATGCTGAAATCAGTGAGAGAACTTCTCCGGTGGCTAAATTTTCCACTGCCGACCCTGTAATTCAATGCAGCTCGATACTGTTGCGCGGATATCACCAATCATACCATAGTTTCTTATAAAATAATTATAATTTGCTGATGAATTGGCATGTTTCTTTATGAGTTCCTAGATGCAGAAGCGATGAAGCAATAATGTGGAACAGCCTCCCTGATAGCATTGTTGATGCTCCGAGTATGAACACCTTCAAGAACAGACTAGACGAAGCTATGCAGGAGCATATGTTCAGTCTTAAAATGCCCAGCAAATTACGGACCAGCTGGCAATAAGTTCAGCACCTATCTCAATCAATCGTCAGTTATGGAAAGATTGGGTTCCAAAGGCCGGATCCCTTGTGAATCAAGTCACGAAAAGTACAATGAACGACAACAGGCCATGGGCCTATTTCTTCAGTGCCGACACTCCTATTCTATGCTATTCTAACTTGCTCTTGAATTGAAATTTTTCTCGAAATATGCACCGTGTCTTGTACTGAAAAGTACAACACAGTTCAAGCCTACAGCTCAAGTGGAATCACCGTAGAATTACAGTAATGGCTGGATTTTTCCAGCTATGAAAACTTATTCCATTTTCTTACATTTTCATGTCACAGTTATAAAATTTTTTGATGATTAGGGGACGAAAGGTGAATTTTCTAAATAAATGTACTTGCCAACTTCCATTGAATCTCGCGTGGTATCATAGAGAACATTAAAAGCTGTACTAACGTGAAACTTTAATTAAGTTCGTCGCCAAATAAGCAGGAGGTTCTTCACCTAACGAAAGCTTATGATCAGAAAGATAAGTGGTCGCAGGGCATCTCCAAACAATATGCGCTCGGAATTTCAGGATCGTAGTAAAGGTGGATAAATAATTAACTTACAGCAAACATGAACCCAAGAACTACTTATTGAGTGTATTGTTTGAGCTTCCAGACTATAATTTGTACTCAAGTGATTCTGGCTCGCAGCCCCATAGTTAAGTTGTGGGGCTGCTGATAGTCATCAAGCTTGGCAGTGTGGTATGGTAAGCGAGCAGTGAAGGTGTGTGCTGCGGTAGCTCTAGAGCCACACTGGGTACGGACGCTAGCAGTGATCTTCCTCTACCCACGGCCTCAAGTTATTCCTTCTTCTTTTATCATTCAAAAAGCAACCTGCAGGTGATTTGTAGCTAATTGTGGGAAATGAATCGTTATACGACAAGTGTCACGTATTGATTTCCACCCAATTAATTGTTGCCCAGAAATGCATTCAATTTGGAGAGTAAACTCTGAATATTTTTCATAATACAGTTTGAATGGAATTCTTCAGTACCATGCTAGGGTTCTTGTGAAATTTTCTTTTAAACGATCGAGTTGATGTCTCATGAGCATCTCATGTAAAGTCACGGCCAAAAGCAAGGATATGATTGCGAGATGCCCAAGTTGATGCGATCGGTCGTGTGGCCAGCATTGGCTCTAGCTGTGTTGCTAGGAGGCAGCATCATTAGCCTAAGCAGAAGTCCTCAGGTATTGACGCAGATACACGATGTTACTCACGAGTATATTCAACCTATTACGAGATCATTCAGTGATGTTAAATTTAGTGCCGAAAATGACGTGCGATTCAGTGTTACTAAGTACGCCGACGGGGAGCCAAGCGAGAAAGGGATATTGACTTCAATCTCAGATCCAGTTAAAAATAAAAAATCAAGTAACACAGTAAGCAGTGACCATGTGCAAGTGGGCTATAGCGGTGGTGACGATCATCAGAGCTTATCACACACAAATTTCGATAAACGGAAATTAGACATTGTACCTCCTCGAAGTCGGAGAAGCGCGTCTGATGCAGAAGGTGAGTCTGCATGCCTGATGCTGCAAGTGAAGTGTGGTGTTTGTCTACGGCTAAGAGGGAGGATGAAGCTTCCTTGCGGTGAAGTGTGGTGTTTGGCTGTTGTGTTGGTCAGGAAGGGGAGGTAGCATCCTTTGCTTAGATGTACCGGTACCCGTGAAAAGCATCGTCGTGTATCGTGACGACGTGATCATAGAAATCGAAACGCAGTTAAAGCACCTACCCTGCAAAAATATGGACTAAAGTTGATAAATACCTTGATTGTGTCAAGAGACAATTTATGCCAATAATTATAAATTTATTTTTGTTTGAATTTATTAACTATTTTCAGCGTTTGTATTTTTCAACGTTTATATTTTTAATTTTAGTGAACTATTAGTAGATACTAACTCATTTCTCCCAAATTAAAAATAAAATAAGAAAACCTAGACATTCCGTCTAAAATAACTTGAGTTGATGAATTTAATGTTTCGTATGACATGTCGCCTAGAGTTCTGCAGCGCAGACTAAATGCTAAGGAAGCAAATTTTCCGCCTAATGACGAAAGTTGTCTGCTGATGCTGCTCTCTTTGCGTCATCGCAGTCTGAGCTCACGATTGTTGTCCCTGCGGCGAATCGAGGAGTCGCGTTCGGCTTACGCTTCAAGGAGGCGATCGGCGTGTACTTTACGCTGTTGCACCTGCCATTTGTGCCTGATGCCACTGAGAAAATAATTTTAGCCTAGCTTCATCGATAGGGAAATGTTTATAATAACCATGCTAATTTTTTTGTTATGGTAAATTAAATCTCCTTTAGGAGGCGCTGTAAAAATGAAATGGATCCTGCTTTAATTATTATTTTAAATGCCTTCGGTCATGTATTTCATTACCAGTAATCATTTAATTCATATTTGTAGCTGTTAAATGTTGTTATTTTACATTGAAATTTGATTATGTGATTGTCAATGATGTGACCATGTTTTTATTTCGTTTGGGATACTCTCGGCTATTTAAATTAGTGATTAATATTGCATAATATCATTAATATGAAAAAGAATCGCAGTATTGTTCTCTAAATGGTCTTCACCGTACATGAGGACCCTCGATTACAAAAGTTTGTTTGCCTGCTTGTCAAATTTTATTCGGAAAGCTCGCATTGCCATTGCAATTGCTTATTACTTGGGTGGCGCCTGGATAACAACCCAAAGCGTATAAAGTTGACTGTAAATCAATCACAGAACTGAGACCGTCATCGCCGTAAGGAGAGTCGATTCCAGTGAATGCAATGATGTCTAGTCTGTGTGTCTGGAGGTCGATTCATCTAAAGGACATGGTTGATTTCCTTACCGCGATTGCTTGTGTGCGATGTCAGAGGAAAGTGAAACCCGCTAAAACAATATAGTTACGCCTGCGCTGCCTGAGCATCCCTTGCAGAGCCGGCATTAGAGCGGTGGTACACCTACCTACCTGGGACCCGATAAACAACTTGTCATTGGCGTGCCGTATGCCAAGGTTGCATGTGCCAATTTATTCCGACTGAAGCTGTCCCTTGCTCACATTCTACTGTCGTTAACGTTCTTGCGACTTTGCTTGGCGGCTTTTATTAAGTTTTGCTTTGGCGATCATCAAGGTCGGCCTTTGTACGTACATACTAAGAAGTTTGGAGGAATTGTACGAACGACTTGAAAAAAACACGATAGGAAGAGAAGTACAAAATTGCACATAAATTCATGATTGTGCACTTAAATGAATACTCTTTCACTTGCTGTATTGTTAGTTGATAAATAAAATGGTTTTTGCTTTGCTTTATTTAGTTTTAAATATTAGCAAAATATAGATTTTTACTTATGCTAACAAGTGACTGGCAAACGAGAAAATTCTAGTTTACAGCACCTTAAACGACGCTACAGGACCTGCACTACCGCAGCCTCAGGACCTCAAACTTTGCTTATAATTATTGATCTGCTTTGCTGTGTTAGGAACGCTTTTGAAAGATTTTTCGCTTGATTGTCCTACAGATATAGAAGAAAAAGGAAATTTTGTCTAACTGAAAACAGGTGCGCTATATTGCACAGTTTAAACACTGTTAGTCGAAATTCCACGATTACGCAAGGCGCAAGCACTGTATGTGTCCTTATAGTTAGGTCGCTTGGATTTTTTCTTTTACGCTCTTTAAATATTTTTTGAGATTAGAAGATCGAGAAGGTTTAGCTTCCAAGTTTATTCCCTGTTGAAATCTTCGAATTATCCGAGATTTTACCTGCGCTGTTTGGGTTCGTACCGGCAGATAGTCTAATTTTTAAAGCTTCTGGCTGATCTTGATTCGCCGAGAGTATTTTTATTATTATCTCAAATTATACGAGGCAAAAATCATCTCATAAACAAATGATACATTTTTTATAATTCTATTGTTATGAATAAAAAAATTCTAAGTAATTCTCCCGAAAAATGAATCAAGTGCTATAATATCGGCATCGCTATGAGGGGAAGCTGCGCTTCCGCGTAATTTACGTTTCCGTCTCGACTTGAAGCATCAGGTATTCAAAAGAGACTTGTGTTTTAATTTTTCGATGTGCGTAAAATTTTGCTTGTTTGAAGCATTATACGCATTGCAGGTAGTGAGTGACCCACCTTCGTTAACTGCTGTCTTGTCGAACTCTCCAAGCACACGTGCTGGGAATTATCGATAAAATAGCAGTGTGATATCTTTCCTTCTGTTGTCTCTGTCAATTTGAATTTGAGAATCTACTAGGCAGCTTTTAATGTTCTTTATCGTATATTTATGCGTTTGTGGTGATGTTTGCATGGTTTAACTAAGAAATATTAATTTGACTTAGCAACGTTCTTGTATCAACGTTTTTGTTTACAGACAAGAAACATTTTAATCTCTAAACATTAGATTACTATCGTTGCTTATCCCATGATATCGTAGGTCACACAATGATAGCATGGGATTTTCATAGACTCATTACATGATAAGTAATATTGTAATAAACCTATTATTAATTATTTTTTGTGGGCATCGCCTCATTGTTGCTTTCTATAGTCTCTTCAAGATGATTATTTCTTTTACAAAATTCTTGGGTGTTTTGCTGTTAGACAAGAAATTTTATTGCAGTGAATGAGTCGTGTATCAGTGCTTCATTTGTGTCAAGAATAGAATGATTGTGCTGCGGTGCATTCTTCACTGCTTGTTGCGCTCTTATAGAATTGATCTTACTAACCGTGTTCAATAAAAACGGCATTTTTCGCTCCATGGGTCGTATTCCTTTTGTAGCAAAACAGCAACTGATACTCCCCGAACAACAGCGATATTGCTTTATGTTGATCTTTATGTTGATCACAGCTGAGCTTCGCAATAACTAAGCAAAAATATAAAGATTTGTCCCGGTTTGCTGATGTTTTAATTAGAGAATTTTTTAGCTGCTTTACGAGTGTCTACTGCTGCTGCTACTACGTATATAGAGCGCCTGGTGCCGCGCGCCAAGTGCTGCTGCATCGCCAGTATAGCCGAGCGTCTCAGAGGGCATTGCTCGCTCAATGCATTCGCTGCACAGGCTTGGGCGTCAGCCTCTTGTACTTGATCCATTTATTGCAAACATCTCTACATTCATTTGATTGTCAGGCTCACATAATATCGGAACTGTATCGTCTCTCGTGTTATCTTGTACTTGATGCATTTATTGCAAACATCTCTACATTCATTTGATTATGTCAGGCTCACATAATATCTGAACTGTATCGTCTCTCGTGTTATCTTGTACTTGATATGTTTCTTTCGCGTCTGATTTGTTAGCCGCACGGGCCTGATTTGTGGTATCCATGTTACAGTGTAATCGATGTGACCCTTGAGTCTGCCTTGTACGCACACAATGACGCAATGTTTTAAACTGGCCGTACTGCTGTGTCGTAAAAGGCGATGAGTGTGCATATTTGTTACATAATCTCTTGCTTATGAACATGAACTCAAGAGCCGTATGAAACTTCAGTAATGCGTTTTTACGCGTTTGTTATTGTTGTATTAGTGGTGTTATTGGTTCCTTGCTACGGTCGGTCTTTAAAGAAATATCGTAAAAATGTGCAATGAAAAAATTATAATACAAGTCTGCTGACCGTTATGATGAATTTTGCCCGAGTACGTACCTAGGCTAATTTATACTAGATTGCTAATTACGGATTTATTTGTATTTCTTTGCAGAAATAGTAAGTCACCATGTTTCGGATGAACCGCTGACAATTTAAAACTTCGTAACTTCAAACAATCGATCTTTCTCGGAAAAATTGAAAAAAGTTAAGAACAAAATTTTCTATTTCAGATTTGATCGCAAAGGTTAGCATCATGTTCCGAAAATGGTTAAAGATAAGATGATGAATAAAATCTAGTGAGTTGAGCTTGACTGATGAGTAGCAATCCCTCACTATTGATCGCACAATCAGAAAATTTATTTGGTCATTTTGTCAATATAGTGACACACATGCGTATCTTTTACCTATAGCTCGAGCAGAGAGCGGACGTAGAACGGATACGTTCTTTTGTCTGTTGAAGCTATATCAAAATGACCCACGCTAAGATAAAAATGCATCGCTATTTGGACAAAGTCTCACTTATATCTCTGAGTGTACTGAGGCTGTTGAGAGCCTCACGGTCATGCATGGTTGCAACGCTACAGCTTTGCTGGCTCAGCATTTGCCTCAAGTCTGGCGCCATCATCTTCCCGCCATCTTTTGCCGACGTCATAACTTCTCATTTTTCATTATGGCTGATTGAGTAATTTCTTTAATAAATGCATGACCGTTTGTATGACCATTGTCGGTACATTTCCCCAAAACAAAATTACTGTGATATTTTTGGTAAATGGTTTCAAATGAATGAAATTGATTCAGTTAATTTGGGTAGTGAATTTATTTTGTTTTGATATAATTCAAGAAAGAGTCAAAATACGTTTTTTTAATAAGTTTTTTTTTAATTTTAGGAAGATTTTTCCTAGCAGTATACCTGTTTAGCCGAGCGGTAGCTTTCAGCAA